ACTATAGTATAATAAATTGAAAACTCTTTAGTATAAAGATATACAAATTAATAAATACAAATAAATACAAATGGAAAATCAACACACAGAGAATGTGTCCTCATCATCCTACTTGAGAAATATTTTATCTTTGAAAATCTTTGTGGCCTTCTTAGCAAGTTGGCTTAACATCGAGCAGCTAAAATAGCCAGAAACCTGTAATCTGACTCTCTTACAGAAAGAGAAGACAGATGTCAGCGCTACTACTGAATTTAAAAATGCAGAAAAGCACAGAGAAAAGAAAACCACAGAAGGGTAGCACCAAATTCTGCACATAAACTCTGACTGAATCTCTGGCAGATCCAGAAACTACACTTGCATGCAACAGATTCCAAGCAGTACTGACAAAGCTAAAATAACTGAAAATACATCTTGGCTGCTGTCAACAATAGGGGACTCAGTTTGCACTTTGAGTTTAGCCAAGTTAACCTTCCAAAACAAAAGGTTAAATATCACATAAATACCATTCTAGAAGAAAAGGAGGGAAAATATGAAGTTAAAATATATTTGAAGAATTAATGGACAAAAATTTCCCTAAGTTGAGAAAGGCACAATTTTACAAATTTAAGAAATTCATCAATCTTAATTAGTATAACTGATCCTATATTATAAAAATCATAAGGTGTTTCCTTTCCTTTTGTTTTCTCTTTGTCCTTTTCTTCCTTCATGCATAATCACTTGTACATAGTTATTTCAGTAGAGAGTAGTCACTAATAATTGATTAACTTTATATTCTAAGCCCCCAGGGGTTGCCTGCAAGATTAATGAAATTGTTTTTCTTTTAAACAACAATGATTCTTAGGTCATACAGACCTTTGATGGCATCTAGAAGTTCAGTCTGAGGAGGGAGGCAAACAGCTTTGATCACAGAAGGTTCTCACCTCACACTCAACTTCCTTACTCTTAAAAGCCCCTAGTTATGTTCAAAAGCAGGTCAGACTTGAGAGTTTGCCTCTCCCACTCTCACGCTTTGGCCAAATCGAACAAACTTTTCTCTGCTCCTATGCGCTCGTGTGCCAGTATTGGGCTTACTCTGCACTGTATATTCAAACCCAAATCTGGGAGTTCTAACAGCAGAACTAGTACAAAAACAACCACACCTAGACGCATAATAATCAAATTGTTAATTCAAACGTTAAAAGAAAATCTTCAAAGTAGAAAGAAAAAAAGAACACTTTATGTACATGGGAACAATAATATTAATGTTTGCTGACTTTCATCAAAAACAATAAAAACCAGAAGACAGTATAATAATATTTCAAAAGTTAGAATATTTTCAACCTAAGATTTCCATTTCCAGTGAAAATATTTTTCAAAAATTTAAAACAAAATGAAAATATTTTCCAATGAGAGAGTGTGTCTATTAGTGTGAGAGGGAAATAATGTCCTGTCATCAGATCTGTACCAGAGAAATTTTAAATAAAATCTTCCTGTTGAAGGAAAATTAATAATGATATACACATTGTTGGCTAGCTTGACCTTATCAAAAATTATAAAGTGCTACACATATAAGTATCAGTATATTCATTCTAAGTGCTTTCTAGAGAGTGCATCTATTTGGCTGAGAGGCAAATAATACCTTGACAGCAGACCTGTACTACAGAAATTTTAAAGAAATTATCCTAGTTGAAGGCAAATTAATAACGATATGCATATTGTCACCTAGCTTGACCTAACTGAAAATTATAAAGTATAATACATAAAAATATCAGTATATTCATCCTTTCTAAGTGATTGTGTACGTTTATCATGTTATGGTACTTTTATGGTACCATATGGTCTATTCTGAGCATCAAAGAATGCTCAGTAATTGCAGTAATTGAAATCACACAAAGCATCTTCTTATCCACAAAGAAATTAAATTATAAAATTAACAGAAGGACAGAAGAGAAAACTCTGAATATTTTAAAACAACATACAGCTGTAAATACCCTACGGTTGCATAATACATCATATAGGATGTATAAATATATACTCAATGGAATGAAATAAAAACAAGATATATAAAAATTTGTTGGATAAAGTCTAGTCAGTACTTAAAAATAATTAATTGAAAATTCTTGTTTTAGCAAAGTATAGTTTTAAAATCAATTACCTAAGATTCCATTAAAAAAAAATCAAAAACAAGCAAACTCCATATCTACTCGAATGGTAAAATTTAACAGAATGATTACCATCAAGTATCAGCAAGGATTTGGAGAAACTAGAACTCTCATGTGCTGCTGGTGGAAATGTAAAATGGTATAAACACTTTTGAAAACTGTTTTTCAGGTTCTTAAACAGATAAACATACTACATAGAGGGAAATAAAACTTTCCTAGATTTTTCACCATTTCTGTAAAAAGCTCTCACCTCCTAGAAATATTTTCACAAACCATTAGAGATCTCAATTAGATCTGTAGCCATTTGTCTACTTAGTTGTTCTGACTCAATCAGAGAGTCAAACTTCTCATTTTATTAAAATGGTTACAGTTGTACTAGGTTCCAGGTTAAGAGGCCAAGATACCTGAAAAAATAAGAGCAGCTACTTTCCTAGGTATTCACATATCAAAGGCGAATGGGCTCCAAGAATCTGGACACATCTCTAGGTCATAAAAACCGGGTCACAAGGGGCTAGCTGGCTGTGAGAGAGATTCATATACATGCATGCTGAAAGGCTAAACGAAGGAGTCCCTTTCAGAGGGGTGGGAATGCAGCTGCCTCCTTCCCCTTTATAAGCAGAGAAAAATGATTTTTTTCTTTATCCCTAGCTATTAGGCTGTCTAGCTACTTGTATAGGACAATGGACCTACTTCTCATCACATTGTTCCAAGGGTAAGGACTAAGGCAAAGGGAGGAGAACACCTATTATTTGTAGTGACACATATAATATCTCTACCTATGATTAACAACACCTCATGTGTGCTTTTAGGTTAAAAGTAATAAAGATAAATATTAAAAATTCAACACACACATAACACAACCCTGGCATTCTACTCATAGGTATTTAGACTACATCAATGAGAAGTAAATATAATAGCAGAAATATACATAGAGCAAAAATTGACACAACTACTAGGAAACAAAGCCATCTTAATAGGAGATTTTAAAGCATCTCTCCAAGTTAGAAAAAACTGTGTGTACGCACACCCACCAATGTGTTGTTGATGACTTATACAATTTAAATAATGTGATCTCCTAATGGACATATAGAAAACACTATGCCCAAACATTTCAGAATGCACTTTGTTTGCAAGGACACATAAATAATTTCCAATTATTGACCATATGCAGAACCATAAAGTCAGTTTCAAAAAATCTCCATGTATTAAAATAATATACAATATTTTTATCACAGTGCTATCAAAAAACATAACTACTAATCTCTATGTTTTGGAAATTAAGAGTGATAAATCTAAAGCATGCATAAAAATAATAAAAATAGAACATAATCTGAACAGTGAAAATATCACATATCAAAATGTATAGGATGCAATTAAAGCATTGCTTCTCCTCAATTACCTTTTTAAACTTCTGCCTTCCCCTTAAATATTAGTTTTCTCAGAATTTATATCTTACTTATAACTTTTTCCATGTTAGCTATTCCTCTTGAGTGACAGCATTCCAGTGCTGGTTTAACCCATCAGCTATAATACCTATAATACTAATGATTTGCTAATACTATTTCTATTTCTGGCTGTAAAATGCTTGGATTTACTAATGAGGCAAATTTACTAACAACCCAGAAGCTAGCTGAGAATGTGTCCATTTTATTCTTCCTCTCTTTTACCTTTCTTTGATTTAGAGGTAAATGGATGTGTAAAATGAAGAAAATAGTGAATGTCTTGTGAAATAACTATGTTTGGATTTTTTCTTGGTTCTTCACTATATTACTCCCTGCAAACCTATTAGAAAGTTAAGGAAACACAAATCAAAACCACAATGAGATGCCATCTCACGCCAGTGCCTATTAGAATGACGATCATTAAAAGGTCAGAAAACAACAGATGCTAGAAAGGACGTGGAGAAACAGGAATGATTTTACACTGTTGGTGGGAGTGTAAATTAGTTCAACCACTGTGAAAGACAGTGTGGCGATTCTACAAGGATCTAGAACCAGAAACACCCTTTGAGCCAGCAAACCCTTTACTGGGTATATACCCAAAGAATTATAAATCATTCTACTATAAAGACACATGCACACATATGTTTACTGCAGCACTATTGACAATAGCAAAGACTTGGAACCAACCCAAATGCCCATCAACGATAGACTGGAAAAAGAAAATTTGGCACATATCCACCATGGAATACTATGCAGCAATAAAAAAATGGATGAGTTCATGTCCTTTGCAGTGACATGGATGAAGCTGGAAACCATCATTCTCAGCAAACTAACACTGGAACAGAAAACCAAACACTGTATGTTCTCACTCATAAGTGGGAGTTGAACAATGAGAACACATAGCCACAGGAAGGGGAACATCACACACTGGGGCCTGTTGAGGGGGGAGGGGCTAGAAGAGGGATAGCATTTGGAGAAATACCCAATGTAGATGAGGGGTTGATGGGTGCAGCAAACCACCATGACACATGTATACCTATGTAACAAACCTGCATGTTCTGCTCATGTATCCTAGAACTTAAAATATAATAATAAAAAAAATAAATAAAAAATCCAGCCTTCAAAAAAAAGAAGGAAAGAAAGAAAAGAAAAGGAAAGAGAAAGAGAAAGAAAGAGAAAGAGAAAGAGAAAGAGAAAGAGAAAGAGAAAGAGAGAGTGAGCGAGTTAAGGAAACTTTCTTAGGGTTTTGAAATCCAAATCCTAAACACCATCACTTCCACTGAGCGAGATTTAAAGTAAATATCACAATGAAAAAGAATGCCCCTCTTCTAGTGAACTATTCAAGGAACTAGACATGTGGGCATGCTCTACTTCCTGAAGAAAACAGAAAATGTAAGTGCCTAAGAGCAGTCAGCACTGGCTATGTGTAGATCTGTCACAGTGTGCCCTTCTTAAAAGCATCTGAAATGGAGCACTCAGAAGTAAACAGGATGTACTTGAAGAGTACTCACTCCCATCATTTCCATGGTAATTGCCATCATCCTAAATGGAAAGCTAGGATAGTAGAATAATTCCATACAAAACATAGAATATGAAATCAAGAATGACAATACCTGACAACCTACATTTTGATATACTACATTTTCTCTTTCACAATACTTAAAATACAAACAAATAAACAACAATGATTTTTCTAAGTTTAGTGTTAAGTGCTTATTTTTGACTTTTGGCCATGTTACTTCTCCCTTACTGTCTAAACCAAGAAACAAACAAAAGAGACATAGCCTTAATGTCACCTTAGTTTTAACTTAAGTTGGGCCCCTTGGCTTGAGAGAAGATATGTTTTGTGGGTTGAGAAAAATGAATCCCTCACCTATGGCTTGAGATGCCAAGCTTGTCTCTGTGATGACCACTAATCACTGAAGAAGCCCAGGACATTTTTGAAACTGAAGTGACTTTTAACCAATCCCATTCCCACCCCCCCTTTTTTTTTTTTCCAGAATTTGAATGTAGAGGGGCCTTGAAAATTGGAAAGCATGACCCCAAAACAAGTCTATGTGTAGGAAAGAACAAGAAAACACCTAAAATAAAATTACCTTGAGAGGAAATTTTAGGCTGATAATTTAAGTTCAATAGAAGTTCCTAATTTTTTTTAGGAGTTAAGGGTATGGGAAGATGGCTGATTTCTGTGTAATATGTACCTAATGCAGGCAGCTCTTCTAGCTCTACTAACAATGATCCACTAGGTTGCCCTTTTAAAAAACAGCGAACTAAGCAAACAAGGTGAACTAAAATGAACTGGCCTTTTGTATGAACCACCAATGTAAACTGCACGAAATGGTATAAGCATGCAATTTTGGCCCTCACACACAATTGTCATTTGTTTAGGTGAGCAGAACCAGTCCTCTATAGTGATACTTTATACCAGTGAGAAGCAGTGAAAGTTTTGCCCACATGGATTTCATGTCGTTCTTCATTTTGTTTGGAATTAGTCCTGAAAACTTCTGATTAATTTCCAAGAAATTTTAGACTTTTTTTTTTTTTCTCTCCTGTATGTGTTTTTCCTCCATTTAGTAAGTAGTAGGAGGAAGACATTAAGTAGAAATAATTATAAAATGGAAGAAAAGTAAGAGTACGCATACCTGAACTGGTAAAACAGATTGTTTTAAACATATTTTATCACTTTGATTTCTCTTTTAAGTTGAAAATTTTCTCTTTTACTTAAAGATTTATAAAACATTTTCTATATTAAAAATATTAAATGTTTACCAGTTTATAGTACAATCATGTTTTCTAATTTGGTGCTCTTTTTTAGTGCTGTTAGTTATTGTTTTTTGTATATAGAGAAGATATAAAAATATGTATGTAAACATTTCAGTATTTTTTTACACGGTTCCTGGCTTTGTCTAATGATTAGTTAGTTCTACCTCTTTTACCCTCAACATTACACAAGCAATTATTTCCTCATAGTAATTTGAAATGCCTGTGATTACATTTAAGCCATAAATCCACTTGAAATATATTTTAGGGCACATGAGAAAAATAAGATTAGTTCTTAATATGCACAATGTTTCACCCATTAATTATTGGAGAAACTATAAAGTACTTTAGAAAGCTATTGTGAAGAATAAATTTTAAATATACCCAAATAAATTAGCAATTAGCTCAAGAGTTATATGAGAATTAATATTACTGGATCTATATTTACCTTATTATTGAAATGTAGATTATACTTTTAATCCCAATCCAGAGCTCTTTATTTATTCATGTACCTTTCTAAACCTTAAAAGTGAAAGGACATTCAGAAAAATGCTAGTAGATATTTCTCAGAGAGGGTTTTTGGGGCGCCCCTCATATTTCTCTTTATTTTTAAAGACATTTTTCAAAACATAACTATTTTTTAATACAAAAATGACTTTCCTAGATGTTTTCCTTCCACAATACTATACTATAATGAGAGCAAAGAATATTACTTCAAAAAAGCTGAAAATGGGTGAAAGGATAAGATTAAAGCAAAACTTTTTGCAAATGGTTGAAAGAGACAGAATTCTTGTTAAAGTGGGACAGAGAGAGCACAGGTGGGAGCTGTTGTTCAAGCAGAGACCTCTGGAAAACCAGGGCTATCAGATACGGAGAGGAAAGAACTTCAGAAATAGTTGATCCTTACGGTGTGCAGGTTTGCATTTGTAAATTTGTCTTCTTGCTAATATTTATGTTACCTCAAAAATCAATAATCACTGTCAATGGTCATTTGCAGATATATGCAGAGTGGCAAAAAATTTAAGTTACCTGAAGGGAGAGCACATTCCCAGCTGAGGGTGAACAAGGTAGTAATTTGCCTGCTTGTTTCCACTTTCATGCTATAAACAAGTGTACTTTTCAGGGTTTATTTAATGCCATGTTTTTCACACTTTTCTGTGTGATTTTGTTAGTGAGTTTGCTGTCTAAATTGGCCCCAAAGTGTAGACCTGCAGGGCTGTCTAGTGTTCCTAGGCTCAAGAAGGCTGTGTGTGATATGCCTTACAAAGAAAATACAAGTGTTAGATAAACTTCATATAGGTATGAGTTACAGCACTGTTGGCTGTGAGTTCAATGTAGAAGAGCAATCAACAATATTTATTATATAAGGTGTCTTTAAACAGAAACATTCATGAACCAAGGTTATTGACTGATTGACAAAAATTCAGTTACCAAAGGCTTCTAGGACCCTAACACTGTATTTCCCCAGGAGCAATAAGGTATTGTTCACTAATTCAGTGTTTGCAACAATGTTATATGACATAAGTACTGCAGAAAACAAGAAACAACTGTAATTGATTGGACTATTCACCTGCCTAATGCAGTGGATTTCCCTCCACTACATAGTGGAATCCCTTGGAGGGTGAGCATTTAAAAAATGCAGATGCTGGTAACCCATTTTACCGTCTCCTCCAGGCCATGGAAATCTGAGGAGATGTCTGCTTTGATGTTTTTAACAACTCAAGTAATTCCAGAAATTCTTTCCTACAAAATTATACCTTAAGAAAGTGGAAGTTGTTGGTTGAAAGGCTCTTTTCAGAAGAGAAAGTCATCTGGGATGTTGCTCTTCTCTTCTTCCTTCCAACTTCCTGGAATGCAGCAATGATGATTTGAGCTCTCCTAGCCTTCTCTGCTCATGAGGCAATTTTGAAAATAACAATAACTGATTTATTCAGTTAATCTTACCAGCGAGTACCTCCTATCCAACAGTCTTGGATGCCACCAGAATCTAAAATCCCTTTTACAGTGTTTCCTAAGCCTCATTCTCATAAGTCACTTTACCCTCTATAATCAGTCCCTTGCATGCAACATTATCTCTAATTTTTTTTTTCTTCTGTCATCTCGCTCACTCCTGGGAAAAACACAATCTGGCCAATCTAGCTAGCTGAACAGAGCTGAGGTAAACCAGGTTTCTTACATTAAGTGAACAGCCATTACTTTCAAGAAGGCCATTAGAGCTGTCTAGCAATGGTACAAAATTTCCACTCTTCATCCCCTTCACTCTCTCGCTCTCCTAAATGACTATGCCTATTGTATACCTCCTTTTCTCTTCTCAGCCTCCAAGACCTCTTCCCCCATCTTTTTTCTCATCTACTGTTCTGCTTCCTATTTCACTGAAAAAACGGAAGTAGTAAAAAGAGGTAAGTTGAATAGTATATTAAAAGCGCTGTAAACCTAGGACTGTATGTACAGCCAACTTACCTTGCAAGAATGAATGTCATACAAAGACATATTTTAGGCAAACAAAAATTGAGAAAATATTAAAGATACACCTAAGGCAGAAAAAAATGAGCACAGAAAAAAGGCTTGAACAGTATGATGGTTACAGAAAAAAAAACATAAACATAGAAATAAATATACATAAATATTGGATGTATAAATGAATAGGATGCATTGCTTTTAATAAAAGGAAGGGAAGCATTAATCATCTCAAATAATTCAAGAAAGAAGTAAATTAAAAAGGAATATATTAATAGTTAAAAGGCATAGACAGAAAGTACATACTAATTACAGATATAAATAAATCCATGAATATCAATAATCACATGGATATAAACACTTTAGATAAAAGACAATGATTGTTAGAATGTGAGTAAAAATTCTGTTATCTATTTACAGTATGTATATTAAAAACATCAGACCACAAAATGTTTGATAATATCAAAATGAAAATTTACATGTCAAACTAATACTAAACAAAGTTCCAACATACTTAAGATAAAAATAATAACAAAAGATAAATAGCACTATATAAATTTAAGAATAACTCAACCATGATTTTCACTGGAATTCAGAAAACAGAAAGGTTAATGGATAAACTACATATCAAAATATGTGGAATATAAGCAATATGGTTCAAAAGATAAATTAATAGCCTTAAATTAGTATAGTAAAAATGATAAAAATTTTAAAATGCAAATGGAAAAACAATAGCTCCTGACATTGAGGAGCTGGCCTGTTATCATCAGCCAGGCCTAATATCCTCCTGGTAACCATGAATATTTCACCGAACAAAGCGACTCTGTTCCCACAGTGGATCAAGAAAAAGATAACACTACTTCATAATCACGTTTGAATACAGGAAAAGTATAAACATTTGCTAAACCACAAAATAGTGCACATTCCTGTCTCCAAGTTAATATACGCAAAGGGTACTTTTTCATCAATTATAGTTTTAGCCTCTCTGTACTCACCTCTGCTATGTAAGATTTATTCAGATACCCAACTATTCCTACTTTTTGAGAGAAGCTAATCCAGAGAAAAGCCACACTTCTTAAATCTCTCTCACTGGAATACGCAATAAACCCAGCTTATTCCTGGTGGATTTTGGCAGCAGGACACTGACCAAAAGAATGGATCATATATCTAATTAAAGAAGATACAAAACACAACATCAAAAGAAAATTAGAAAAAAAATAGAATGAAGGAAATAGGTAAAATCAGGAGCCAAAGTTAATGCAACAGCAAACGTACATAAAATAGAAGTTAGAAACAAACAAATACTAAAAGTTAATCTTCAAAAAGACTTATATAAAAGGCAAACTCCAATTAAGTAATAAAAGAAAATAAGGCACACGTGCTCAATACTAAAGATAGAAAAATATATGTAGGGGGTGAAGAGTTAAAGAGGCAACAGAATGCATTTTGAGTAAATTTAGGTCAATAAATGTGAAAAAGAAAAGGACATAGACTGGGCAATAAAGCAAGATCTCATCTCTATAAAAAAAAGAAAAAATATTAGCAAGGTCTGGTGGTATGCACCAGCAGTTCCAGCTATTTGGGAGGGTGAGGTGGGAGAGGGCTTGAGCCCAGGCCATCAAGGTCACGCCACATAATGCAGCCTGCATAGCCAAATGAGACCCAAAAAGACAAATTCTTCAAACTACAGATTGCCAAAACAGACTTACAAAATAACTATGTGAGCTAAACAGAATAAGCCTATAAGCACAAAATACAATTTTATACATAGTTAAAAATCTTCCCTCAAACAAAATACAATGGTCAGATGACTTTACCAATAGGTTCTAATGAACATTCTAGTATTAAATCATTTTAATCTTATGCAAATTCTTCTAAAGAACATAAAAATGGAAGATTTCCAACTTATTTTATGTGACAAGTATAATGTGGACTTCAAAATTAGGCAAGTACAATATGAGAAAAGACGATTACAGGCAAATCACAATTATAATTGCTGATGTAAACATCTTAAACGAATTATTAACAGAGAAAATTCAGCAAACTACGCAAATAAAATGAATCATTCCCAGGCTCATTTTATCATAGCAAACAAATTTCGATTGAATCTCAAATAAGGAAAGAGTTTTACATAATGTATTACATTAACTGATAAAGGCAAGAAACACATGAGAATCTTCATAAGATTAGGCAAAAACATTCAATAAATTTCATCATGCATTCAGGATAAAATGTCACATATCAAACTAGGAATAGAAGGAAATATCACATCCTGATCAGGTAAACCTATGAAATACACACAACATCCATTTTGAAAAGCAGTGAAATGTTAGAAGCACTCTATTAACATTATAAATAGTACAAGACTACCCATTACAAATATTATCATATCTATTCAGTATTTCATAGGGGGTCCTAACAAATGTAAGAATATTAAAAAGTTATAAAATCAGAAAGAGGGAAATATAATTCTCAGTAATTACACGGTACCAAATCATATACATAAATATCTCCAAAGAGTTTACAGGCAAATTGTTGAATTAATAAGTAGATTTAATAAGGTCCCTGATACAATATAAATACACAAAAATAAACTGCATTTTCTATATACTAGCAAGAATTACAACATATAACTAAAAATAAACATAATTCACAGTAATAACAATATATAAAGTGCTTTGACTTAAATCTACTAAAAAATTACCAAGTATTAAATTAAAGGAGACGCATGCCACGCCCATTAAAGACATCAACTCTCCCAAAACTCATACAATGCACTTAAAATTAAAATGCATTGTTATTTTGTTTTGAGGAACTGTGAAAACTAATTATAAAATGCATATGGATGAACGAAGGCTTAAGAAAATCCAAGACAACAATGAGAAAGAAAATAAACACTCATCTTGCCAGATTTCAAGGCTAACAAGACTACAGTAATAAAGACAGTGGGATATCATCATTGATGTAATCAAATTTGCCAGCAGAATAGAAGAGAAAGTCCAAAAAGGACTCCTACAAATTACAGAGACATGATATTTGGTAGAGATGGCACTGAAGATTAGTGGGGAAAAAAAAAAAAGATTATTCAATTTTTTCAATTAAGGACAATAGGTTATTCATACAGGAAAAAAGTCAGAATAGACACAATAATTAATATAAAGTAGATTAAATACTTATATATGAAAGACAAAATCTGTGGCAGATGGACTGTAATATGACCCCCAAAATTATCCCATCTCCTGGTATTAATGCCCTTAAGTAGCTCATTCCTTCTGCATATAGGTGGGACCTGTGACTTGCTTTCAACCAATAGAATGCTGCAAAGATGATGGCGTGTCACTTTCATAATTTAGGCTACATTGTAGGCAGAGTTTCTCTATTGACTCTCTTCCTGGCTTTAAGGGAGCAAGCTGCTATACTGAGAGGTCCATATGGTAAGCTACTAAAGGCGGACCCCAGGCAACAACGAGAAAAGTACTGAAGCTTTAGGTCCAACAATCTATAAGATACTGAATCCTGCTGACAATCATGTAAGCTTGGAAGCATATGCTTCCCCAGTTGAGTCTCAGGTGACACTGCGGCCCTAGCCAACAACTTAATTGCAGCCTTGTGAAAGACCATAAGCCAGAGTACCCAATTAAGTCATGATTGATCCCTGACCCATAGAAACTGTGAGATATTTAAAATATGTTGTTTCAAGCCACTAGGTTTCTGATAATATTGTTAGGCAGCAATAAGTAAGTTTAAAAAGTGCTTAGGAGAAAAATATAGGAAAAGATTTTTAGGGCCAACATCTTGGGGAAAATTTTTTAGTAAGATGCAAAAACAGTATAAATAATAAAGGAAAACTGACATATTTGATTACTTTCAAATTAAGAACATCTGTATATCTAAAGCTATCATAAAGGTCACTCTGCAAAAATCAAGAAAATATAAGCCAAAAAGTTAGTCACAATACATATAACCAAAATAGGATTAGTATTCATAATATACGGTATAGTAAACTTCAGTGAGTCAATAAAAAAATAACTGAATAAAAAAAGGGGTAAAAGAAATGACCCCAGTTTCACTCCAGAAAAGAAACACACAAGGCAAAAATAAAGACTGTGTGTGTGAATTTGGGTGGGTGTGTGGGTTTGGATGGGTGGGTGGGTATATGTGTACATGTGCAACACACACTTGTGTGTATAAGTTCTAAGTCATTACTAATCAGAGGAATGTAAATGAAAACCATAATTTGACATCCTTTTATCCCACCAGACAGGAGAATATTAAAAATCCTGTAAATGTCAAGTGCAGAAGAAAATCTAGAACAACAGAAACTCTTCTATATTACAGTGTTAACTTATATAATTTGGAAAATAATTTGGCATTGTCTAGAATAGTTGAGGATGTACATATCATATGAATCCAGAACCTTTCGGCTATATATATATATATATATATATATTTTAAATATATATATATTAAAAAAGAAGACTGAGTAGCTGTGAGAGAAGGCTCTTAGCACAAACAAAGTAACAGAAAAACTAAATTCTTGCACAGTATGGAACATACTTAAGAATTTTAACAGAAAGTTGCTTGAATTTGCAAAAATCAGAAATATCCCTAAAATCTATCAAGCAGCTAAAAGATAAATAAGGTATGGCATGTTCCTACAATGGCATATTCATATAATGAATCACTACCTTGGTGAAAATATGTGATCTCCACCTACAAATATCAGATACATTAGATAATATTTTGAGCAAAAAATAAAAGCAAGATAGATACTAATATACACAATATGTTAATGTGACAGTTAATATTAGATGTCAACCTGACTAGATTGAAGGATTCCTAGATGGCTGATGAAGCATTGTTCTTGCGTGTGTCTGTGAGGGTGCTGTCAGAGGAGATTGGCGTTTGAGGCAGTGGACTAGGAGGGGAAAACCCACCTTCAATGCGGGGGTGGACACCATCCAACATGGTGCCAGCAAGGATAGAACAAAGCAGGCAGAAGAACTGGGATAGACAAACTGCTTGCTGAGTTGGCTTGTTCTCTTTCTCTCCCTGCCATGCCACATACTTGGCTTCCTCTTCTTTTGACCTTGGACATTAGACTCCAGGTTCTTCAGCCTTTGGACTTGAACCAGCAGCCTGTCAGGGGTTCTCCAGCCTTCAGTCTCAGATTGAGAGCTGCACTGTTGGCTTCCCTGGTTTTGAGGGTTTTAGATTTGGACTGAGCAAGGCTACCAGCTTCTCTTTCCCCAGCTGGCACATGGCCTACTGTGGAATGTCCCCTTGTAATCCTGTAAGCCAATTCTCCCTAACAACTTTGTCTTATTGGTTCTGTCCTTCTGGAGAACCCTAACAGAGACAGTATTTAAATAAAGTTCACAAACATGCAAAATCATACTGTATGTTGATAATAATAGACTTATATATGGTGGAGCTATAAAGAAGAAGGAAATGAGAAACACAAAATCCAGGACAGAAGTAACCTCTGGGAGGGTTCATGGGAGCAGAGGATGTGAAAATGGAAGGTCAGATGGAGGGCTTAACTACTCATATTAACTGCATATTTCTTAGTGAGGTTAGTGTGTACACTCATGCTCATTTTATTACTATCTTTCATATTAAATATGCTTCATAACATTTTGTAGAATGTGTGAGTATATGAATTCTAAATCTAAATCCCAGCTGCTCCGGCCAAAACAACTTATGGATATCACAGGGGAGGGCTTCCAACTTCCCAACCAGGGTAAATGCATCTTTTCATTGACAACATATGAAACTATTTTGCACATCCAAATACCAAAAATTCAACAAAGAGGGACAATAAAGCTCATATATGCAAGAATCAACACAATAGTGGTTTATAACTGCTTACAGACAACTAATGCAAGGATGCGGCAGCAATATCCAAAATAAACAATCAACCACACACAAGGACTTACTCTCCATTGAGGGTATGTGCCTCACTATCACAGCACTATGACACTCAGTCCTACTTCAGAAGTGCACACTCCCACTTTCCTCACTGAAAGGCTGAGTTTCTGACTGGAGGCTCCGGAATTTGCTCCTGGGTCCCAGTATATAAGCCAAGAAAAAGCAAGCAACCAAACTTAAAAAGCACCAACCAAAAGCACAACCCCAAAAATGTGTGAATATCCTGTGAATTAACAGAAAAGATTGATCTAGGTAGATTTAATAATTTTATATTGATATAATCCTCTGTTATGTATGGTGTTAAGGTAATAATATATAGATACACATTTATATGTAATTTGAATGCACTTCCTGCAACTGGTTTCTATTTCTTCCATCATAGCCTATGGGGTAAATGTAATGTTCTAAAATATGCTGAGCTTTATTTACACTTAAGTGGAAAAAACTGAAATGGAAAAAATACAATAATTACAATGTAGACAATCACAAATATATATCTATCAAATGAAGGTATGAACACAGTTATGCTTAATATTATGCAAATGGCACTTGTGGCCAGGCAGGGTGGCTCATGCATGCAATCCAAGCACTTTGGGAGTATGAGGGGGTGGAGTACCTGAGGTCAGGAGTTCAAGACCAGCCTGACCAATATGGCAAAACCCCATCTCTACTAAAAATACAAAAATATTAGCTGGGCATGATGGCAGACTCCTGTAATTCCAGCTAGTCAAGAGGCTGGGGCATGAGAATTGCCTGAACCCAGGAGGCAGAGGTTGCAATCAGCTGATAATATGCCACTGCACTCCAGCCTGGGCGACAAAACTGGGATGACTCTGTCTCAAAAGAAAAAAATAAAAGCATTTGTAACATGGAATAAAACTGAATAACAGCAGCAAACATGAATTCAGAAATGTTTATATCTCAATAAATCTCAGAAGTCAATATGCTTTGAGAAAAGTCAAAATATGGCTCTGTAAATGAAGATACTGAAAATGAAAAGTTGAATAAAATTGTTTGTTGAAATATGAACATTAAAAAAGCAGTATTTCTAAATCAACATATTGGGTAATTTTTATTTTCCCAGTTTGTGCAACTCAATTAATGTACTAAATACTAAAATAGGTATCTGATTAGTATAGATATCTACTATATATGCCCAAATTACCTGAAAATATTTTAAATATTTTCTCACTTAAAAACAGATGCATCACATTTTATATTGGTTTTTCTCTTCGGGCATATACTGTAGGAGAATGAAAGTAAAGATACCTCTGCTGCCTCTCTCTCCTCAGTAAGACAAGAATATTGGAATTGCTCACAAAGAGGAAATAATTACTGTTCCATTAAGTTACAAACTTTTGGAAAATCCTTGTGTCAACTTTGCAGGAATTTACTGATAGAAAAACGAAGATTTAAAATTAAGAATCTTGCATAAGACATCAGAGCTAGTAGATACTAACTGGGGGATTTACACTTATTTGTAATTCCAAAGATCAGATAAAATATAAACTTCTTGTGTATATAACATTTTCAGTGGTAATGTCTCCCTTCAAATTAAGGATGGAAATAGAGGAAAGGTAAAAACAAGGCTTGTGAAAAACCCACCAGTACAACCTGACAGTTGTACAGAGAAAACTTTGTCTCTTAAGGTAATGAAATTTTGTGTGTGCATACAAGCATGTATCTTTTTATTCATGTGTTCCACAAACAGGGTATTTTAGATAGTTTTATAGTTATTGTTGGGAAAAGTCAAAATAACAATGGCACATGTGTACATTTCGGTAAATCTAGAGAGAGAATCAGAAGTTAGTTGGTGTACATAAGCCAACTGAAAGTGTGTTGTGCTCCAGTTAGCACTGAACAAGGCAGGGTGCTCAGGTTAGTTTAAAAATAATAGTAAAAACCTTGTTTTGTTTATGTGTGGTTAACTTTTATTAGCTATATCCTTTATATGAACTTATATTTTAATAAGTATTTCATCAAAACAATTTCATCATTTCTTGGTTGTACTGTGATTTTATATGTATAAAATCTCCCTTCAATTTTAAGTGAAATATTGCATTGAAGCATCAAATTAAATTGGTCCAATAAAGTTAAAATAGCCATATTTTAAAGTTGAAAGCCATGTAAACAAACCTACAGAAAAAGTAATCTTTTGGAACAAAGTGAAGGAATGAATAAATTAACATACCATTAAAACAACAAACAAAAATTAATAAAACTAGGCAGTAATTTTTCAGTATAGTACAAGGGTTCGGAGCATTATTTGCATCATGCAATGGATAAAGTAAAAATAGTTTATTGAGGGGTGTCAGATTTTAATGCAAGATTGATGAGTTTATAGTTCTCATTTAGCAAATGAGAAAAGTGACAGTAGTAGGAGCCAAATTGACTTCCAAAAAGAGAAACAATGAGCATTACGGATGTTGCATGACCATGAATATTTCCCTCTTTAAACCATAAAGAACAATGTATGTATCCCACGGTCAGAAATAGAGAAAAACACAACATATGAGAGACCACTGCTTACCTAGGACACTAGATAACCTGAGACATTAGGTGAAATTCAGTATCAGTGTTAATGCACTTGATAATAAGACCTCAGAGCTAATAGATACCGCCTGGGGGATTTGCATTTATTTCTAATTCCAAAGATCACATAAAATATAAACTTGTTGATGTATATAACATTTTTAATGGTAGTCTAGGACACGTGAAAGCCTGAGACATTGAAAGAAGAATTACATTCATCTCAAGAGTCAGCAATACAGAAATCATTTAAATAGTATAAAATAGAAAAAGCAACTGTCATGTACTATGAAACAGTATCGACTAAGATGATTACAATGTACCTTTCTGTTCTTTCAAGTTTCATCTACCCTAATATTTCAGTCTTTTAAAGAGTTTATACAATAATTAACACCACTGTCATGGGAATGATTCTCCTTGAGTACTTTATTTTCTGTGTTCAGGTTTAGGGTCTCTCCTTTATTCCCATTTCACTCCTTCCCTCCCTCCTTCGATTCCTTTCTTCTGTCATTATTTACAAGACAGGGAAAAGAACAACAGATTGTTGCTTTTCCCTAAAACTTTCCCTAAAACAAACTCTATTTGAATATATTTGATCAACTGTTAGTCACAGAATTCACAACATTCTCGCTTCTACTTGGTGTAGGCTCTTTTTTGCTGGGAAATGTGTGAAAAGTGGAAAAAGAATGTTCAAACTGTCAGCTCCATGGAGGTAGGGCCCATGTGTGCTTTGTTCACGACTGCATTCCCAGTATTGAGAGCTGTGCCTGGCACTGTGGATCTGGAGGTACTTACGGGGAGAGTAGGAAGAGTAGGAAAAGAAAAGCCTGTTGGAGCCTGAATCAAATACATCAAGTTGTACTTCGTACCGCCATTACTAGCAGTGGTCCACACACAGGGCAGTGAGACCACACTCAGGCATTTTTTTTCTCTCTTCAGGTCATTCCTTGATATTCAAATACAGACCAAACTTGGAGTGGTTGAGTGAGTGGAAACTTCAAGAGTGAGTTACAGTAGTTTTATTGTTTGCATTTATGGATAATCTCTTTTAGAAGAGCTATTCATTGATGAGACATGCTGTGAGAAATACAGACTCAAAACCCAGTGATCTCTACTCAAATTTACCTATCATAATCCCCCCATCTCAATATTTTTTTTTCCTCTAACCATGCTGTTTCAGAAATAAATAAGCCATGTCTCCTATAGAACAGGTACCACTTCTTGGTGCTTTTCCTTGAATGGTAATCACCATCTTGCATGCCCCTCCTCTCACTCCTCCTTTTCCTGATGAACTCCTAATAGTTTCAAAGTCTCTAGAGAGACTGTCAATTTTTCACAGAGCAGATTCATAGTCAACTGACTTTTATGTTCTTCCTTTATGCTAATCAGTATCTGGACAGTAGACCCACCAAAAATATGGTAAATAGGCAAATTAACAATGAATTATAAATTCATTTAAATTCCTTCAAAAAACTATAGAATTGAAAGAAAATGTGCCTAAATCTTGGCCATACCATTTATCAGCTGATTTACTTTGGACAAATCACTTGACGTGATTTTCAAACATGTAGGTAAAATAACTACTAGAGTTGTTGTGAGTATTGTAATGATACATAAAATCCTTATGATTCAATGTGCAGCACATATTAAATGATTAATTCATGACAGATCCTCACCCAATGTAAAGCAATTATTGACAATTCAGTCAACATTTAAGCAGGCAGTAAATAGACCACATATTAACTGTCTCAATATCTTAGAATGTTAGGGAGCCTTGCCTCTGGAAGTAGTGTTATACTGCTTTCTATTAAAAAAAAAAAAAAAAGTATCTTCAATATGCTAACCTTACATCACTTTCGTGCAGTTTCTTCTTTTAGTGATACCATGCCTGAATGAAGATCTTACCAGTGGCAGTAGGGGCAGATGGAGAATACAGGTGCTTGATACAGGTACATCCTCGCCATTAAGAAAGTTGCAGTCAGGACCTGGAATTAAGTTAGAGGAACAAACGCACGAGAATCGGAGGTTGGGGGAGGTGGAGAAGGACCAAGCTCAGATGCTAAAATTGTGGCTTTGGGTAACAGTATTCAACTTGTCCTCCATTTTCCAACTGCTGGTTCCTGGGCTCCATACAAAATCCAAACAGCATTACCCAAAGACCTAAGGAAAAGGGGTATGATAAAATTATCCCAATAATAGACAAGTTGCTTTTAGCTTTTTATTTTTGTATTAACAGGAGTCTTATTATACATAGGTCTGATAAACTTATGATTTTCAGTCATAAACTTTATGATCTTCAGTCTGTTTCCGGTGCTGCATGAACTGGATAGCGTATGATGCGAAAACGACAACAAACAAAAACTACTAATTTCTTGGAAGACCTAGATGAATCTGTCTTTGAAAGCAGAATCAATTAAACATGTATGTGTTACTTAGACTAAATACAAGACAAGCCCATATAAATGGTAGCTCAAACATCTCAAGTGTTTCAGAGAATGCCAGAATCTACTGTTTAAAAAGTGTCTATTATCCTGTATGCAAAAATCCAAAGTCATTTGGGTCTTTAAAAATTATACAGATAATTTTTCTTCCAAAATGAAGTGAAATAATGACCAATCAGATATATTTGATAATTTGGTCAACATTTAAATTAGCAGATAATAGCCCAGAAATTAATTGTCTTGTTCTTAGTATGTTAGGTGCCCTTATCTTTGGAAGTGGTGTTATACCGCCTTCTACTTACGCTTTTTCCTAAATTAATAAATGAAAACTTTTCTATTTCTGATCAGAGCTAATCAAGCCAAATAAAGCAATTCAAAAATTATCATTAATATTTACTCACTTATAATTGTGATATACTTTGCATATCAAGAATGTCTAGGATATTTGGTGATGTACAGAAATCACTGCTGAACAATGATGCCAACCAAAAGTAAGTTCGGAGGTTCTTCTTTGAGTACATTTGCAGAGGGCAATGTACCAAGATCTGGGAACTCTGATAGAAGGAAGGATTGTCCCATTCTTGTCAGGTATTTATTAATTATTAAATGTCTAATATTTTGGTGTCTATACCTAATATGTACATATTCTCATGTGTCTGCTTATTAAAATTTGAATTTTAAATTAAAT